GCGCGAACCAACCTGACCCGAGCTCCACCACGTGGAGCGCCCAACAGTAGCTTGTGAACCACGTCCTGCCAGCACTACAACCGAGCAGACAAGGCTCAGCTCCCAGCTGTGACCGAGCAACATCCCACGTGAAGCCTGCTTGCATAGACATCACCCTGCCAGCACTCTGACCGAGCAGCTCGGTTCCCCATCACCCGTGCCCTGCTGCTCCTACTCCACTGCCCAGTCCATCTCATGCCCATACCATGCACAAATGAAGAAAGACAACAAAGATAATTAGCAGAAGAGATCACGGGGAACAATTAACAACAAAGGGCTTTAATCAACGAGGGGGAGATATCCATGGACCATTAGCCATCAAGAAGAGGACCAAAAAATTCACCAAAAAGGAGGGGAACAGGGGTAACCATTTCGAGCAGAAGGGGTCAGTGATCAATTGGAGAACAAGCAAAGAACATGAGAGCAGGGAAAGAAGGATACCAATAGAGAGCTCACGAACAGCAGAGCACGGAACCAAAAAACCAACAGAGGAGGTTTCTTTTCATCAGTAACAACAAAGGGGGTTATGGAAGAAAGAGCAGTGTAACTGGAGAAGGATTCCCCCCGTATTCGAGAGCAATGTGAACGGGGGATCCTTCCATGATTTTACAGAGGAATGAAAGGCTAGAAATCATTTTTAAAGTTTATTTTCCCAATTTCTTCATAAGCTTTTTTCGTTTTTTTTACAATCATTCTAAAAATGAAGAGTTCTAAAAAACTAGTGAAATGCCATCCAAAACTATCATCAGCAACAACCCGACAACACAAGCAAAGCAAGCAATAAACCCACTTTCGTATTTAAGGTATTTCTCTGGGTATATCTTGAACAAACAAAGGCATTGGTAAGTTCACGAGGTAAATGCTATTATCTTTATTCGTTTCGATTCCATGTGGGTGATGTGTGTGTGACTTGTTTCAAAATAAACTAAATAGATTAAGGCGAGGGAGTGGAATACCTGTTAATGGAGTCTTCGTTGGAGAGAACACTCGGTGGCGTTGGTCGCGGAGAGGAGTCGAGGCTTTCGACCGTTTTGGGTTTTAGAGAAGTTTAGGGTTCAGGAAAGCTTAGGCTCGTTTTGGGATTAACCAGTCGGTTTAGATGGGTCTCGAAGTGGTCTGGGGTGAGTTTCGTGGTTGAGTCATCACGGCGCGACGGTTGGAGGCAGCGGTGGCCGGCTTTGGTTGTTCTGAATTTCTCAGTTGCTTTCGAAGAGGAAGATGAGAGGATGAGAGTTTGGAGAGTTGAGAAAGAACGGCGCAGGGGGGAAGAAATTAGGCTTAGCAGAGTTTTGATCTGTTTTAGGTTAGATATTATTTAGGTTTTAGTCAAAACGTCGTCGTTTCAGCCGATGCTTTCCTAGTTTCTAATTCTGACTCTGTTTTCTGCGCGCATTCCATTTCGGTCCCCAAGTCAGGCATAATCAAGTTTTATTGTGTTTTTAATATTGTCTCCTAATTTTTGGATGTTGCATCTTGGTCCGTAAATCATTGTTTGCATGTTTGTAATTTTGTTTCCATATTTTACCCGTATTTAATTTCAGTCCCAAATGTTGTGTCATTTAGCTTTTATTACTTTAGACATTTAACTTCTGAATTGTTGCATGTTCGTCTTAGTCCATAAATCAACATTTGCATGTTTATAATTTTGTCTCTTTATTTTACCCGCATTTAATTTTAGTCCTAAGTAGTGTTGTAGTTGAATCTTTACTGTTTTAAACATTTGACCCTCGTGTTCTGCATGTTGCATTTTAGTCCTGAGTGGTAATATACTTAGTTTCTGTTTTCTTGGACTCTTGACTTTGAATGTTTTGCATGTTTCTTTTTAGTCCTATGTATGTTTAGGGTTTATTATAATTTTAGTCCATTATGGTGATGATTTGTTTTATTCTGGTTTCATTGTTTACTATGTGTACTACTCGTATGTTCATTTCAATGATTATTTTGTTTATTTTGGATATTAAAATTCGGTTTAATGTGATTTGGTTTTTAGTGTAACATGTATAGTTTGGTATGTTATGTTTTTATTTTTTTCGTATTTTAGTCCCATTAGTATGTTACATATTAATATGTTAAGTAATGTTAGTGCACGTTAGTTTTTCATATATTATTTATTAATTAGATAATTTTTAATATCGTGTGTTAACCTCGTGTGCATAACTCGATGTATTTACATAATTTAATTAAGGGTAATATCTTTTTAATTTAAAATTGTTTTAAGTGGTTGTCTTAACTGATTAGATATCCGCTTTGACGATTTTAAATTAAAAGTATATCCCACCAGTAACGCCTAATTAAATTTGGATTAATCACTTTAAAATTTGGGAATGAAAGAAAAAGAAATATTCGGCTATTTAAATTATTTGAGAAAAGATCGTTAGAACTCACCTAAAGATCTGGTCTCAATATTTATAAATAATCGAATATTCTTTATCTTTCTAATGGTTTGGTAATTTTAATTTAACCTATTTTGTTGCTTTTTGAATGTTATAAAATTTGCATGTATTATGGTTTTAAGGGATCATTAATCAAATTAAACTCGAACTTGTGAAATTCGTTGCAAAGACAATAATTAATCGACTAGGTACCGATTTAGGGCGTTGTGGGGGTGCTAATCCTTCCCCACACGTAATCGACTCCCGAACTCAGATTTTGATAACGCAAACCTCTACTTGTCGTTTTAATTAAAATTAATTTTTATTTAAAATGACAAAATGTTTTTGGGTGCCCAATCACACCCTAATCAAAGATTGGTGGCGACTCCTCGAACCTTATATTTTTGCCATAACGGAATTTCCAATTTTTCGAAACGAGAGGTTTTCTAAAATTGCATCGTTTTTAATTAAAAATTCAATTGAAAAGATAATAACTAAAGATGATGCGGTTTTCAAAAATCTCGCCCAAGCCCGTTTAAAAATCGTTTCGACACTTTGCTATTGGAAAAGGAAGCTGTCCTTTGAATTTACACGGTTTACCTGTTTGTGTCTCATCATTTAGCTTTTTTCTTCTCTTAATAGGAGTATTATGATGCCATGTTTTCTGGATTCAAAATATGGATATTGAGCGTTGAGCAAACAGATATATGTTCTATTGTTTATTTGGCTAGGTATAGAGAAAAAACAGAGGATTTATCTTACGACGAATGGGATTCAAATATCAGTTTAGGTCTGTCTGTTTAGCTGTAATTGATTTTCCAGAAAATGAATTACTGGAATTTGAATTACTGGAATTTGAATTACTGAAAAAATGAATTACTGGAATTTGAATTCTGGAAAATGAATTACATTTTTGTAAAATGAATTACATTTCTGGAAAATGAATTACATTTCTAGAAAACATCTGAAAAACGTTTTATGATGTTTGGAAGATGTTATTTAAACATTTTTTCGGTATATTTTAGTGAAATAAAATTTTATAAATTATATTAATTATTTATTAAAGTAATAGTACTATATTATATTTTAAAAATATTAATTAGTATATTTTAATATCTTTACTAAAATATTATTGAAATATATAAATAATATTATTCATTATTAAATATATAAAAAAATTTATTATATATTATTAAAATAAAAATATAATATCTTATATTATTATAATATAATTGATTATTTTATATAATATTAAAAATATAATATTATATTATTATAAATATTAATAAATATATTTTAAATATTTTAATAATTAATATTTTGATGAAAATGATATTAAAATATTTTATTAATATTAAATTCATAAAATAAAATTATTTTGAGTATTTTTGCTTTGAAGTGAAAAGTTCGGAAAAATGACTTACGGAAAATGAATCTGTAAGTCATTTTACAGAAAACACAAAGGAAATTATGTTACTAGGAAAATGAATTACATTCCGGAAAATGAATTACGTGAAACAAACACGGGAAAACGTTTTCCGGAAAAAGAATTACGTGAAACAAACACGGGAAAACATTTTCCGGAAAACGAATTACGTGAAACAAACACGGGAATTCGGGGAAAACCAATTCCGTAATTCCAATTACGGGAAACAAACAGACCCTTAGTAGAATAACATTTATCATATAGTAGTACCACTAGTGTCCGAAATCGTTACCATAAAATATAAGGGTGTGAAGCAGAATTACACCTATAACAATGAATCACGATCAATTATAGCTTGCTTGCTATTATTTTGTTATTCTAATATTTTTTTAACCAAAATCAGCTCCTTCTGTAAAAAAAAAATTAACTCTTTTAAAAAATTTATGACTATAATACTCACAATAACCATAAAGTATATGTGGTGTCTCAACGTGAGGGAGAGATTGATATGTTTGATTTAGAATCTGAATTTAGTTTTTCATATGTATTGGATAAGATACGATTTGACATTTGAGGGCTTAACAGACAAGAGCAAGCTCGATGCTCAGCCGGAGCTCTTTATCAGAATCATCCCCGATAAAGCCAATAAAACTCTCTCTATCGTTGATAGAGGCATTGGCATGACCAAAGCAAGTACAAAATTAATTAACAATCTTTCCAATTAGAAAATGTACAATCTTCTCTACCTATTCGAATTCGGAGTACTGATCATAGTTTCTTGTCTAGATTTGGTGAATAATCTGGGAACAATTGCGAGGTCCGGAACAAAGGAGTTCATGGAGGCATTACAGGCGGGAGCCGATGTCAGCATGATTGGTCAGTTTGGAGTAGGATTTTAATCTGCTTACTTGGTAGCAGATATATCCGCATTTGTTAAGATGTTGGAGAATTCAAAGAGACCATCAACACTACATTCTTTACGCAATAAAGTAGTCACAAACGATACGAGTGGGATGAAGAAACATGCAAGAGAATGTGCATTCCATTATATTATAAATTTAACCTTCCAACTCCTGGATGAAATTTCAGCATTCCAGTGCAACAATCTCCACAAAATGTGTGTACCGATCAACCGCACCAACTGCCAACAAACCTAAATTGACAAAACTCATGAAAAATCATTCCATCTCAAGGAAGACCTGCACTGCCGGCAGGCCCAGCATTACCATAACCGCCACCTCCTCGACCAAAGGCAGGCCTTGTTCCAGGACCCTGTGAGTTCAAAAGTTAGAAATTATAACAAGCCCTTTCTGTTTGTCTAAACATGACCTCATTGATATCATCAATGCCTACAAAGGACCATTATATGTTTTATGGTCTCTGGAAATAAATTAGAAGATTATACAGGCAATCAAAAGCATTTGTTTCGCACAAATCTGTTTCGGAGTTATATTTATATCACAAGACACTTGATCTTAAGCCAGCCGCAAGCAACAACAACTAACTTCAAATTTATACCTTGATCAAAATTGAAATATGTACAGTTTGGTAGAACAAGGGAATACTAAAAGCCAATCATCAAACCATTCCGGAACAGACAAAAGCTCAGACAAAAAAGAACTACTTGCCTAAGCTGATAGTAATATTTAATCATGCTAAGGGCAATTACCTTGAGACAGCCACAAGCAATAACAACTATCATACAATATAGGCAATTTGTGCAACCAATTGAATGAAATGTGATAAAAAAAAAAAAGAAACACAACAAGCAACCGTCAAGCATGATATACTGTCAGACAATAATTTAAATAGCGGTCTGTTATCATAATAGTGGTAAATGCACCATCCAAAACTGTTATTTCATAACGGATATACCCACAATGACCTATTGCAACAATCATGATAAAGGCAACGTGAATGAAAACACGGCCACAACAGCAATTTAAATCCCTGCTGTCATCTATACATATGTAAAACGTAGAAGCTAGAAACTTTATAAAAAGCAACATTACCCTGAATGAAGGCTGATAGTCAGCAGGAACTCCTCTTTGTCCCCAAAATCACCTCCTCCTCGTGGACCTCCACGGTAGCCATCTCTATCACCAAATCTCCTCTCACCGTCACCGAAGCGTGGTGGACCACTGATTCATAACCAATAAAACCAACAGAATATTACCAAAAGAAACAAAAGTTCACCAAACTATATACATTGGAAAAAAAATACAAAATAAAAGAACAAAGAACCCAAAACATGGATTTAAATAGCGGTTTGCTACTGCAATAGCGCCAGCTATATTGTGTAACGGTGCGATCCAAATCCATAACTGCATGATCGCAATCACGGCAATAACTCCCGCTGTATCCACAATCGCAAAAACACAACCAAACCGAAAACATGACTGCAATTTAAATCCAGGCCAAAACTATTACTGTGGGCGATCTCGAGGAGAGCCCATAGGACGACCATCAGGCTTAGCTTGCTTCTTCAAAGTAGCAGGCACGATCTCAGAAGGGAGATTCAAGTAAGTCCTTAGAAACTCAATGCCGTCATTGGTAAGGTACCAGTAATAATGCATCCAAGCGAAAGTTTCACGCACGTATTCCTTAGATTTGAAGCTTTGCATCAGCTTTATCACTTGAAGATTCGGAACATCGATTTCTGGGTGCTTCGCCAAGATTGTAATATTTGTTTGCATAGCAAACACCCTCTGGTAAACAAAGTAAAAAAAAAAACCAGATGTTGAATCCAAATACTTAAATATTTTACAGATAATTCGAAATGTATATGGTTTTTTTTTTTTAAATTTAGTTACCTTGAAGAAGGTACTTGGAGATCTCACGTCGGATCTTATCTGGGATGATATGGAATCAAGAAAAAATGCATATTAAAGATATTATCTTGCAAATATTTTCTCACAAACAAAGCAAAGAACTAGAAAGCGAGAGAAAGTACCATTTTTGCTATAAGATAACAGGCGGCTGTGAAGATAGTATACTAAAAGGGAGGATTTTTCTTTCTCCTTGCTCTATCGCATATATCAGAAGAACCCCTAGTTTAGGTTTTTTAGGGTAAATGACATCAGATACCATCAACCTTAGGAATTGTATCATTTATACCACTAAACTTTCAATTTCACAAATTATAGCATTGAATTTTGATTTTTGTTTTAATTATACCATTGAACCTTTAAATCGTTAACATCACGATGACATAATTGATGGCTTCCGATGTTACTGACAGATGTCAACGTAGACACCTCACCAAAAGACATTGTTTTGATTCGACTGTTAACGTTTTAACGCCAATGGTATAATTGAAACAAAAAGCAAAATTTAATATTATAATTAATAAAATTAAAAGTTTATTTGTATAAATGATATGACGACTAAAGTTTGATGGTATGTAGTGTAGTTTACCCTTTTTTTTACTTATATTGTTCGGTCCGCGTTGGGTTTTATTTGGGGTTATTTGTAGGCTTTTTTATTATGCCTAAAATTGAAATATTGGGCTCAAAGGACCACAATTATGACCCAAACTTAGGGCTAAACAATAAAAATATAGTAATCGAAAATCTATAGGTCTGTAAACGAACTGAATGTTCACCGAATCGTTTGACGGGAAATTCGTTTATTTATTAAACGAACGAACATGAATAAGATTTTGTGTTTGTTTAATTAAATGAATGAACGTGAACATAGAGCTTGTTCGTTCATTTACGTACGTGAACGTTCGGTAATATGTTCATTGCAATACCCTAATTTTGTTCTGAAATAAAAGAAGGAACAAAATCCAGGGACTAAACTAAAAAATTTACCCATTTGTAATATGTGGGAGGGGGTTTAAAAGCCAAAAAGAAAGCAGATTTCATCCCCGCCCGGTTTCTTGTAAAAAAAATAATAAAACAGGGTTTTTCTTTTTTTTTCTTTCTTTCTTATTTTTCTTTCTTTTTTCGGGATAGTATAGATGCATAGGAGTGGCCACGGATGAATGGTGGTCGGAGTGTGAGAGAGAGGCCATCTCTCGGCCAGAAGGCGTCGGCTGTTGGTGGCCAGTTGTAATCTCGTAAGGTCCTTAAGGGGGCTTTGGTCGTGAGCAAAGAGATGGAGAAAAGCTCAGTCACTTAGACCTTTTCTGGATTTTTCTTGTTTGATTCGGGAGTCGTTTGGAGTTCGGGTGTTCGTCGTTGAGCGGCAGAAGCGTGGTGGTCGGCGTTGAGGCTCGTTTTAAGCCTCTCAGCGTGGGGAGAGAGAATAAGAGACAGTTTAACGGGAAAAAAGTTTTGGTCGTTTAAGCCTTCGGTCGAGCTTATTTTGGTCGTTTCGAGGTCACCAGTTGGAGTAGGGTGGTTACCGGCCCGGTTTCCGACGTGTGAGGGCCGATGTGTGGTCGGCGGTGAGGAGTTTAGGGAAGCTTGGAAAGCTTCGGCGGGAATACGTGAAATGGGGAAGATAGTTTCTATTTTAAGAAAAACAAAGGTAAATCATGCCTAAGCCCCCCTCATTTAGTACCACTATTGTGTTCTGGTCGCCTCTTTTAGGGTAAAATTACACTCGGCTCCCCTATCTTTAGCCTTGTTTTTACATCTGGGTGACTATGCATTTGTTGTTTTATTTATTGCGTTTCTGACCCCCTGATTTACTTTATTTTAATTTGGTCACTGATCCATGCATTTTTATTATTTTGAATTAACTGTTAACTTTTATTTTATCGCACATTAACCACTGACTTTTATGTTCTTGCATTCTAACCATTATTTATTTATTTATTGTTTCACTTATAGATAGATAGATAGATAGACAGATAGACAGATAGACAGATAGATAGATAGATAGATAGAAAGTAACCGCTAACTTTTCTAACTTTTATTTTTTATTTTTTATACTAACATTCTAACTTTTATTTTATTGTTTATACTAACATATTAACTTTTTTATTTTTATTGTTCTTACTAACTTACTAACATTTTATTTTATTGCACAAACTAACCCGCTAGTATTCTAACATTCGAATATTCAACGACCTTGCGGTGACCCGCCCTAGGGTACGACCCGTATTATTTATAGTCCGGGTTAAACGATTAAAAACAACCCCTAACTTTTAAATTTATACAATTTATTTTTGTTTTTTTATTTTATTTATTTTTCCAGCAATTTAAATTTCAGTATTTTATTTTTATTCCCCTTTAATTTCCTGCATTTTTATTTCAGTCCTTTTAATTCAAATTAAAAGGACATCCTTTTTAAAAATAAATTTGAGTGAACCAGGCCATTTTTTAAAATCAAATTCTTTTTAATGAATCTCACTCAATTCAAAATAAATTCGAATGAACAAAAAGATCGTAATTTAAATATATGTTCGAGTTTGTAATTCCCCAACATAGACACCATATAATATTTTATGTACCAAATTTGGACGTTGTGGGGGCGCTCACCCTTCCCCACACGTAATCGACTTTCGAACTCTTAAAAATGAATTTTTGGTAAAACACGTATTATTTTTTTCTTATGAATTTTTAAAAATTTATTAAAAAGGATATTTTTAGATATTCGACCTACCTAACCCAAAGGTTGATGGAGACTCCAAAATCAAATTATTTTTAGACCTAAATTTCATCATCTTTCCCCGAATTAATTTTTAAGTCTAATGAATCCCCGAGGGAGACGTTATGACATTCGTTTATGTTCATTTATATATGTTCATTTATGTTTAGCCCAATCTCTATAGACCCATTTAAAATATTAAAGCCCAATAAATTTTTAATCTGATACCCATAAAAATTTTAAAATTCAATTAATTTTAAATATAAATAAAAAAGGCTCAAAACAATTAAATAAAATATAATCTTAAAAATGTTTGGAAATAAAAAAATATATATTTTCATTTATGTTCGGTTACGTTCGTTTATATTCGTTTACATCCATTTTTTTTGATCATTCATTTGTGTTCGTTAAATAAAATATAATCTTAAAAATGTTAGGAAAGGAAAAAATATATTTTCATTTATGTTCGTTTATGTTTATTTATTGTGTTCGTTTATGTTCGTTTACGTTCGTTTATTGTTTTCGTTTATATTCGTTAACATCCATTTGTTATGCTCATTCATTTGTGTTCGTTTACATTTAAATGATCGAACATGAACGAACATGAACAATAAATTTTTTGTTCGTTTATGTTTGTGTTCGTTCATTTGTTTGGTTAAAGTTAAACGAATGAACATTAACATACCCCTGTTTGTGCTAGTTTGGTTCTTTTATAGGCCTAAAAATCTACCTAAATATTAGTGTTTGAATAATTTATAATTCATAAATTTAAAATTTAAGATTATTCAAGCTAAAAAATTATGCTTTTTAAATTTATAGTTATTCTATTTTTTAATAAAAAAATTAAGTGTTTTATATTTAAAAATAATGAAAATAGTTCTAAGATATCATATAAAAGTTATTAATTATTTTTATTTATTTGAAACTTTATAGAAATATTTATGAAAATGCTTTGAAAACTTATCAATTAATTTCCAAAAGTCAGAAAATATTTTTATCAAAATAAAATCTAAAAACGACAAATTAAAACAACTATGAAAAAACTAAAATGGAAAATTAATCGAATTAAATTATTACAAATAATTTTAAAAAATTAAACAATCAAATCAAATCTGATCCTATGTTTTTCTGATAATCAAATTGTTTTAGGGTAGATATATTCGAAAAAATAGCAAGGTTGGACCTATTAAACTAACTCGGTAGTTAAAAGGAATTTTTGTTCTTACTAAAGGTATTGAATTCAAGCAGTTGAGTCTACAGATGTACATATGTTGTTAATAGCTAAAAAATTGAACAAATATTATCTTGCAACTACAATATTATTAAGTGAAGATGCCACATCGATTGATTGGAGATCAAATTTAATCGAAACAGTAAAAAAACACAAATTCAATGAATTAGATTTACATGAATCCTCAATTGAAGACTAAAATATAGAGAAAAAAAAATCAAAAAAATAACATGACTAATCACCATAATATAGGTCAAAAACATCAATTTGAGAACAACGGATTTCGAAACCAAGCAATGGGTTTCGAAACCCAGAGGTTGGTTTCGATGCCAAATATGCCTACTGTAACTGCTTTCCGAAACCTAGTCTCTCGGAATGGTCTAAATTAGGAGTGAGCATTCGATCGAGTCGAGTCAAAAAATTTCGAGTATTCGAGTTGATGAGACGTGTTTTACAACTCGAACTTAACTTGAATTTTTTCGAGTTAAGTTATTTGAGTTAATATAATTATTTATAGTATTATAGCAATGATTTGTTTCAATTTTTTTTACTATCTCTAACCATATAAGATATAGATATTTGATATTATTTTCACATTAAAATGTTATTTAATATATCAAATGCAATCTAAAATAATGAAATATAGTCATAATATTATATTTTAAAAAAAAATATTTTGAGAGTAAAATATTGAGGACAGTATAAATGAATCAAGGAAGTGATGGGAAGAAAGAATTTACACACAGTTGTAGTCAAAAGACCAAATCGAGTAAAATGCAAAGTGTAAGAGACTAAATGAAAAGAGAGATTACATTCTTAGTAAAAAAAAAAATAAGAATTGAAGTTACATAGGTTTTCCATTGTGATATATGAGCATGTGGTTCAAATTTGGTAGAAACATAGTTAAAATAAGGATGAATTGAAGAAATAAGGAAATTATGAAAAATTGAGGGACTAAATTGAAAAATAGAAATTTGTTATCAAAAAGAGGAATTGAAAGTACATATGTATTCTACAATGGTTTAGGAGCATGTAGTTCAAATTTGATAAAAACGGACTTAAAATAAATGATAGATTAAAGAAATAAAGAAATTATAAAAAATGAGGGTTTAAGAGCATGTTGTTAAAATTTGGTAAAAAAACAGGCGTAAAATAAAGGATAAATTAAAGAAATATAGAAATTATAAAAAAATTGAGGAAATAAATTGACAAATACA